ACTCGATGCATGTATCCAGAGAATTTTCTTCATTGACTCCTTGAGGTGATCGACACCGCTAAGGAAAACACACGTAGGTGACCTCAATTTAACATGTATGTGAGGATCGTAATGTTCCCTTGAACTGCACATTTGAACAAAAATATATAAGATATTTTTATTCAAATAATTCTATCGAACTACATTTTAGGTTCTGTAACGCAGTTACATTAATGTCGAAAATTTTAAATAGTAGGTTACGTCTCTAACTACGTTGTGCTCGTTAAATATGTGCCTAAAATTGATGGAGATACTAAGCAGATCCCACTGAAACATAACAACTACATTTTGGTGAGCTCATTTGAATTCCACAGACAAGAGAAACCTACTGTTGAATGCCGGTTTCGTGTGGCTTATTTTTCAGTCTGTACTAGGAGTATCGCCTCTAAAACTCAATAGAGACTCTGTAGTCGAAGGGTATAACGACCCTATAACACTTTCGGCTTAGTGGAGCTATTGGAGTTCCACTGAAATCGTGTTCTTCGGCGTTTTCATTCGGCATTGAACTGTAGCTCCGAACATCGGTCTTAGACCTTAACGCTTTGAACAATAATAATAATGATATAACAAGTGAAAAGTCTTTCCTCTTAAGTAGATGTTGGTCTTCGCCGAGGATTTTGAAAATAAAGACCTTTCATTATCATTATAATAATTATTACTTGCTATTGCTTCACGCGGTATGACTGTGTAATAACTATATGCAATATTGATTACAGCTATATGGCTGTGTAATCAATGTTCGACGGTTTAGGGAATTGAACCCGAGATTTTTGGCGTAAAGTACATGTACTCAACCACCTAGTCGCGGCGGCTATAGGTTCGATAATGCAGCAAAATTAATGTTTGTTATGCGATAATAATTTCAACAATATTCTACTATTCACACCTATATCAAACTATTTATCCGAAGTGGGTACTTGAGGATGAATGTTTCGTTAACAATTATGATCAGAATGGACAATCAGAATTTCAGCATCTCCATCGAGGCCGTAAAATAACACATATGTTTGGCACAACGCGAATAGAGAACTTATGCTTATCTGCCAATGCTAGTCTTTCAGTGGAAGAGGAACTAAGTAAGAAGGGACGTTAAAATATAGGAGGGAGAAGGCGTCGCTTTCGGAAGACTGTGAAAACGTTAATATCAAATTTCAATACCTCAGTTTACACATGTTTCAAGTTCGAATTTTTGCCAAAATGTGTTACGTACACATTCGTAGCTGTCAGATAGAATTTGTGGTCCCCAAAGTGATCAATAGTGTCGTCAAAAAACGCAGTTTTCAAAAATGATAAAGACGTAGAAGGAATCCGCAAGTCTCAAAAACTTCATATCAGTTCATATTCATGTTCATATAATATTAATAATAAATTTGAAGTTTCTTGGGGTGTCATTATCAAATTTTTTCATTAGGTCTGAAAAACGTGAAAATTCAGGAATACTACATTGAGCGAAAGAACATGCATGAAATAGGGATATTGACACCAATCACAAATTAAGTTTCGTGTTGATTTTTCAAAGTTTCTGTTATTATAATCTCGAAAAGCACATTTCACAAATTTGATTTACCATATTGAATTAAATAAAATTTATATTAAAAGTTGTATTTATCGCCTATTGCCACGTGACTGCAAACGCCAATCAGGACAAGAGCACATGACGTCATCAACCTGATCCATTTCTTGGTTTGTGTTCATGCCGACGAAATAACTGTGAATTACTCAATATTAACCACCATGGAAATTATATTCATCAAATCAAATAATTCCAATTTAATTTTCCAGAGATAGATTTTTTGATTGGAATCATCTTTTTCTAACATATGACGTCTTTTCTTCGGAATTTAGGAATCATCAAAACATCTTCGTAAGAACGTTTTACGTTTACGTTCAATAAATATCTATCAACTAATACTTCAATAACAGTCAAGTAATATGTTCAATCAAAAAGTTTGTTTGCCATTAATGTCGGATAAGTCCTGAACACAAAATTCGCTCTAAATCTCCAAGAATAACAATTAAATCCAGTATTTCGATTCCAATTTTATTTTTGAACTTGAAAAAGAATCAAATACTGATATGCGTTTATTTACAAAGGCCATAATCTTATGGGTGATTTTTCAAGTGTAGTTTTTTAAAATCGAATAAAACACTCAATTGCATCGTATATTCAAAATTTTTATCGAAATTGATAACTTTACATTTTGAATATAACTTCATGTTGTCCGCGGCTCCGTATCAAATGGTTCATTCGAAAGGTTCAATTTCGTGTCACTTTTTCGAGCATTTCGAACTGTATCCCACGAATTACGCGTGTTATGTTATTATTGTTGCCTTCAATCGTGTTCGGCTTGTCCACATACTTACACTAACGACTTCACATAACCCCACAAGAAATAATCCAGAGGCGTCAAATCGCATGATCTTGGCGGTCAATTCACAGGGCCATTTCGAGTGATAAGCTGCTCACCAAATTCATACTTCAACATGTCCATTGCTTCACGACCTGTGTGGCATGTGGCACCGTCTTGATGAAACCACATATCAACCAAGTTCAACTCGGCCAACTGGGGCAAAAAAAAAGTTGCGTATCATGGCTCGATATCGTTCGGCGTTGACGGTAACGTTTCTTCCACGGTCCTCTTTGAAGAAAAATGGACCGATGATACCACCAGCCCATAAACCACACCAAACTGTCGTTTTTTCGGGATGCATCGGTAATTCTTGAATGGTATCTGGCTGTTCATCACTCCATATGCGACAGTTTTGTTTATTTACATATCCGTTAAGACAGAAATGAGCCTCATCGCTCAACACAATTTTTCGATAAAACAGCGGATTTTCATTAAGCTGTTCTAAGGCCCATTCACCAATAATTAGAAGTTGTGGTAGGTCCTTCGGGTTCAATTCTTGCAGAATTTGAATTTTATAGGCTTTCAAACCCAAATCAACACGTAAAATTTTCCATGTGGTTGAGTAAAACATGCTCGAGTGCTGAGAACGGCGACAAATTGACATTTCACGATCCTCATTAACACTGTACGTTACGGCTGTAATATTCTCTTCAGTACGCACTGTACGCATGCGAGACAATGGTTTAATGTCCAACAAAGTAAAGTTGGTGCGAAATTTGGTGATAACAGCACGAATTGTTGATTCACCAGGTCGATTATGACGACCATAATATGGTCGTAACAAACGATACACATTTTCCACAGAGCTCGAATTTTGATAGTAAATTTCGACAATTTCTTGTCTTCCCATGATGAAATGGCAGAGTATACTGAAAACTTGTCACTTTGACAGATGACGTTTGGATGCCATCACCAAAAAGTGCCGCCAACCTGAAAAACTTAACTCTCAAAAAATCACCCGTTATAATAATGACATAATTTAGAGGGTCCTAAAATGTAGCTATTAATACAAGCATGATGTTTCAACATAGTAAATTTCCTAAGACTCTAAGAGATATAGATTCTTCTAGCAAGTCTTAATCACATTCTCCAGTTTTTCAAATCTTTTGGAACATGAAAAAACAATTTTTTTCGATGCAATGTTGTACTCTTACACAAGGCACCGCACAGCTTTTGTAGAATTTCGCGTTCATTTCGATTGTTTGCCTCCACTTTCGTACAAAGAAAACCCATGAACTTAACACACACCTCATGAATAGCGGACGATGTTTAGGAGTTAATGGCGTCACTCGGCAGGTTGGACAGCTGTGGAGTGTTTTGGAAAAAATTCAGTTTTTCATGATAAACAACAGTCAATCTTCAAAATAAAAGCGGTTCCGAAAAATTGTCAACATCTCCATTACTAGAGTTCGCTAAAATAATCTCGGCAAAATCCTAGAAACTATTCTTAATAGTGTAAAAAGTAATAGAGTTCTCCATAATTTTTTTGACCATTCAACTCATAAAAGATATTCCATTGAAATTTTAGCATACACAAAATCAAACATTCACAAATATGGGAATGATAACGAGCTATAAAATTCAAGGACTGCATAATGAGGTGAACATAGACAAGGCAGGTTTTCTAAATCTTTGATACCATTTACGTAACCCTCAACTAAAAAGGACAGTGTCAAATCGAACATTTCAATGCAATTTCAAGGAGACCAACATCTTCAACAATAGAAAACGGAAGTAGTTAATTCAGAATCGTAGCCAATAAAATTTTCGAGCAACAAAAAACCAGATCAATCGTTTATTTTCATGTTTTGAACTTCGACATCTTCAAGTTGAACTACGTAATATCACTTCTACAATTTCTGCATAAAAAGTTCTGTTCGATCGTAGTCCACTTCGTTGTATATTTCAAAGTACTTACAACAAAATAAGTTGAAAACTTCGCGGACTTCTTCGAGATTTGAACATCACTCAACATTTTTCTGATTAGATGAAAAAAGTTACCGAAGTTTTTCAATATTCATTACTTATGTTCGAATACGTTCGAGAAAGTTTTCGATAATTTGACTCAATTTTCATGAGTCTTTGATATTCGAAACAAACGCGAATCGACGTTACCAACAACTTAATTGTTGACGTACAAAACGTCATTAAAGAAATTCAATTGTCAATTGAATGATATCAACCAAGATGTGTTATTTTTATTGTATTTCGCATCTAATTGGATACGTAAAACGAACGAAAATAGAACCTAATGTGAATATCGTGACTTAGATTGACGATGGTTCGATAACTGGCCAAATTAGCCATTCAATTACACAAATATGGCGAATATATCTTCATTAGTAACAAATTGGCGAACTCAAAGACCAATTGACAAAGATTGAGGAAAAATACAATTGAAATTTTTCACGATTCTAGTAAATTTTAATTGTCTTTGTGATGAACAGTTTCATCAAATGCTTTTTGAATTGCTTTTTTGTATTTCGTTATATATTGTGATTGAAATAAGCAAGAAAATGTTGATACTAGTGTTTACTTTGTAACATGCCGGTCTCCGTGGTTTAGTCGGGAGAACACCCACTATGGTGCGGTAGGGTTCGGGTTCGAGTCCTGGTGGAGGCATGGGTGTATGTGTTTGTCTATGATATAAGCAGTTTGATTATAATAATTGTTGCCCGGTGGCTCTTCGGAACAAGCGTTAAACTGTAGGTCAGGGAAGGCGAACCAATTGCACGCGTGCCATTATTGGTGGCACGCGGCACAATATTTTAGGCACGTCGCCGATCATAAAACATGTGGTAAGTAGGTATTAACCATTCCAAAATGTAACTCTTTTGTTTTCTTTATTGCATAAAGAGTTTAAATATCATTTACTATTATTATTTTCGAAATAATCTGATAGTCAAAATTATTTAAATGAGAAGTAATAATAAAAACTTGTCTAAAAATCACTGGCTAGTCAGTGATTTTTAGACAAGTTTTTATTATTACCTCTCATTTAAATATGAACCATCACAGAGTAGATTCATCGTCCATTGAATTTAACAAAATTATTTGATGGCACGGCAATGACCCCATCAAAAAATTTTCAGAAAAAATGGCACATTGATGCATAAAGGTTCGCCTACCCTGCTGTAGGTCCACTGAATTCTAAAAAAACTTTGTAACATGTGAACCGAGTTGCGATAACAGACACAATAATTGTAAGAACACCTGTGGAGATATTTTTTCAACTTCTTTGATCGTACTTTTTGAAATAACAGTGATTTGATAGCATAAATTACTCTATTTAATAGTGTTGGCGTTTACTTGATGTGAAGTCCATTATAATTGAATATAAACTTAAATTCAAACACTTGGATTAATGATTTACTCTTTATTGACTACATAGCACAACGCGTTTCGTCGTTACAAACGACTTCTTCAGATGCTAACAGAATAATAACAACAAATTTGAAAAAACAGGAATGAATATTAAGAATCTTAAATTCCCTTGATAATGATTCACTTATGATTTACTCTTTATTGACTCATAGCATGACGCGTTTCGTCGTTACAAACGACTTCTTCAGATGCTAACAGAATAATAACAAGAAATTTGAAAAACAGGGATAAATATTAATAATCTCAAATTCCCTTGATACTTATACCTGTTTTTTCAAATTTGTTGTTATTATTCCGTTAGAATCTGAAGAAATCGTTTGTAGCGACGAAACGCGTCATGCTATGAGTTCAATAAAGTGTAAATCATAAGTTCAAGTAATTGACTTTAAGTTTATATTCAATAAATAACACTTCAAAAAAATAGGAAAATATATAGATTCCTCCTTAAAAAGTTACATTTATCTCAGACATTTTATCCTAAAGCATTTAAAGAGTTTCTAGTTTTGGAAATCTGCAATTTATATATTCATTAAATTGCTTCGAAGAGTGAGCTAACCTCGTTTTGATTTTAATCGATTAATTAATTGAATTGATCATATTATCGACAAGTGGAAAGCTGCATCTATTTTAATTTTTTAATTGCAAGAATATAACGATTTTGGCAAGAACTAAAGGTTGATTTAGCCTCCTCAATCAAGGTAGACGTCTTGGTTTTTGAGATATTAATTAAGACATTTTTGCAGCTTGTGTGAGTCAAGTAGGTACTGAGTTTTCGATGGAATAATTTAAATGATGGGTGAAGATCATTAAATAGAATTACTTGTATTATATGCAATTTTTGAATTTTGGTTTTATCGATTTTGATATGTTTAGAAAGGTTATCGTTTGTTATGAACGATTTATATTGAGATTGTGACTACGTATTCACAATCTACGATTGTCAGAAGTCTGACAATCGTGTCAGAATACTTTCAGAGTGTTTTGAATCGACAATCAAATTTGTTGAGAGCTTTGTTTCATTCATTTTGAAGCTTCACATTTAGAAGCTTTTTAACTGTTCTAAATCTTGCTTTATTTATGAATGCATTACTTTTATGAGCCGAAAAATCCAAATATTTATTTGATTTAGCGTATGTAAGTTCCTCCAATACGTTTAATAATTTGTTTTATGTATGATACAAAGTATTTGAATCTATAAATGAAATGATTGACCAAATGTCACATGTTCTTATATTGAACAATATTGATGGAATTCTCTGCCATCTATTGAGTAGAATCATCGTCACATGATAAAAATACCCAAAAATCACCATCAAAAACCATAAATAAAATAGTTATAATATAACAATGATTTATAATTTTTCAACACTGAAATATCTTACAGAATTGTGTTTATTGCTTGTGTTTCTTGTTATATAATCATTAAATCAATTTCCATTAAATGAGTCTATCTTTTAATCAACATACAGAAAATTGTAATACATGCCAGTAACGAAATGTAAAATACCTAATCACAACCTTCCTTTCTATATTGATCAATAATAATCATAATGATAATATTTATTTAATTAAGCAACATTACAAAATTAATTTACGTTCAAAATTTCTTATTAACAATTATTTGTTTAAAACGAAGTTAGCTAATTTACGCTTAAGTACCTTAAGGTCACTAATTGTTTTTATGAAGTTAGGCAATTGATTAAATGCATTGATTCCTTCATAAAATATACCATTTTTGGATTCGAAATGCTTGCAAACTTTCATGTAGAAACTGTCGGCATTTGCTGTAGGAATTATGAGAGTGCACATCTCTGACATATGTTCAATTTTTATTACTCCACAAGGGATCAATGTGTTTTCAATTTCAAATTAAATATATGTATAGCATAAAGTATTCTTTGTTTAACTGACATTATTTCTAAGCAATTTAACCTGATTTCGATTGAAGTATATCTATTACATTCGAAAATATTTCGCATAGCACTATTCTGCAATTTTTGTAGCTGCTTAGTTTTTTCTTTGCTCAATCCGAATAACAGAGTGGAACAATATTCAAAGTATGGCATTATTATTGAGTAAGAGCAATAACTTCATGAATGTCGCCTGATATTTTCCAATCCTTTAAAGAAATATTGATTTTCTTGGAGATTTTAGACGATATGAAGTCGACGTGATCAATGAAACTCATTTGCCATCTAACATAATGCCTTAATATTTAACAACTTTTGCCCTTTCAATGTTCTGGTTTTCAATTTTAATAGTTATATTTAATAGTTATATCGTTACTCTTTACCTTCAGAATAACAGTTGTACCTACCCAAAACTATTAATTTAGACTTTTTTACATTCAGCGATAAACTGTTACCGCTTAGCCATTCATTTATTGCTGCTAAGACTATATTGATCAATTCTGTCATAGTCTGGATATTTTACCAATAACATAAGGTATTGTATAATCTGCGAATAATCGTATAGAGCATTTTTTCTAATGTCAATGTCATTGTAAAAGGAGAATAGGAGTGGACCTAAGACCGTACCCTGAGGTACGCCAAAATCAACTACAGTGATTAACATCACTTTTTGAGATCGTGAATGTAAATAAGATTGAACTATTTGTTCACTAAACCTTCAAGACCAATTTTACTCAGATTTTTCAATAGCAATGATCTACATAAAGTTTTGAACGCTCTTTTGAAGTCCAACAATACTACAATCACTATTGCTCACATAGGCTTAACGCTGCTAAGTCACAGGACGAATTTCTCTCGAAATAGCCTTGAATAGTGGTGGACCTAAGACCGTACCCTAATAATTTGATTGATCGAATTGTTGATCAACAATTCAATCAATCTGAAAGGTGATGAACAAATACGAGCCATTTTAATTCATCTAATAACATGCCGAATTTGTCCGCGTCTGATATTGATCCTCCAGTTGCAGTTTCGGATATCACCCCGTACATCGGTCGTGTTTATTTCACGTGTCGCAACTCCAAGCAATCAGGCGAATCCGAATCGATTCCATTTAATCGCGATTAATCCGACCTAGAGGAGGATTATGGATACAAACCGATTGAATTCAATACATATGCAAAGTCTTCGAAGCGCATACAACGTAAACTGATCCAATCTCTCATTTAGTACGGCGGCAACTAGGTTACAATTTCACTAAACGAACGAAATACTAAACACGTCGGCGCTGATGCCGATATGTGCAAGCATTCTCGTCATTTACGTAAATTGCATGTTTCAGCTATAATTACAATTATTTGAGAAATGCATGTTTCATTCAACAGTGTGTAGAAAAAATTAACTTTTCACCAATTGTAATAATCTTCACTGCCGTTTGAACTGCTTCATTAGCTTTTTCAAGAAATAAACGAAATGATTAGTTGAATTCTCAAAATTAAAATGTTCAAGTAGTATATACATTTCTTTAAAAAAAAATTTACAGCTTTTGCCTCATGGAGCTCTATTTGAACTAAGAACTACGTCAGAAGAAGTCCGGTCAAGGGTGAAAACCCTAGATCATATATATAAATGATATATACATCGGATACATCGATGGCATAAGAATTGTTAAATGGAAACCACAACAAATGGAAACGAAACCACAGTGAAGACGTGCCTTTTTCTATCTCTTTATCTTATTTACATATAGAACCTATAAGCGCTATCTTTTTCTAAGGACCGGTATATGGGCAAGCGCATTTAAAAAAAAGTACGTGTGTTGGAGAACAATCGGGCGCCATGCAACATTGCCAGATATAAAAATATTTATTTCATTTGGATATATTTGTTTGATTCATGTAAAAACTCTTTCAACACCTTATTTTATTTTCTGGTATAGAACAATGTAGTTTTAATTTTTAACTGTTAATTAAGTTCAGATGTGTATGTTAAAGTATTATTTCATATATACTTTTGAAATAAAAGGTAGCTTAAGGTTGCAGGAAAAGGCAAGACCTAAAAGTGGCAACCTTGTATCGTCTGTTTTGCCAGTGACAATTACATGACTCATCACATAACCTAAAACATCAGTAGTGACACTAGTATTGATTGGTTAACATTAAGAAGTCCTTAGAGTGAGATATCGTGCTGTGTCATTACATATTCAAAACAAAGAAGGGATATTTAAATGAGTCGTAGATATATCGGCTTCAGAGTTTAGATTTATCGAGACATCCACGTTAGTATATGATCTATGGTGAAAACGTACTCAACATTTAGGTTAGAGTT